ATACATGATGTCATGTGTTCTGTACAAGGTTGACAGGGAACTGGGAGAAACTAGTGCATTCAATGATGTATCTTATCTTCAATTAAACTAAGTTATATCGATGGCTGGTGAATATCGGGCAGTGTTTTTTATACGTTACAAACCGTGCGAAGCATTCTACAGTTTTACACAACACAACATCTTTTATTTCAAAGCACTGAAAATAGATGTACCGATATTCTCCGGAACACTTATCGTCTACGAATTTTACACTTTGTTTAAAAAGCTTATGAAAACTGATATGAAGCAAAACAATAATTTCGGTACTATAAAAATAACTCTATATAGTCATATGAAATAGTTACCAGTATTCTACAGCTGTGTTGACACTAATTTTGTTCCATCATAAATGAAATCTACTGAATTTTGTTTGTTTAACATTTTCTGTTTTCTAATTGTCCAGTTGTTACCAACTTTAATATCGCCACTGAAGTCAACCTTTTGTTGATTATCCCCCTTGTCTAAAGGCAGATCCTCTGAGACGGCACCACTACTCGAATCATCCGGGACTTGAAGTTCAATATCGTCCCAACCACCGAACCCGCTATCTTCCATGTTACGTGTGTGATTCTCCACGACAATTTCTTCAGTTTTTGGTGGAGTAATCGAACTCAACAGCCGTTTTCTCGATGCTATGACGCTCTCGGCTTCTGGCGATATTACCGAACTGCTTGGGCCTGAACTGATAACCATTGGTCGATTTAGTTGACCTTCCATTAGTTTCCCACGAAGCTTTTGTTTCTCTTTTCTACTTCTGCGTCGACTCTGTAAATAAGCTTGTCTCTGTACATTTTTAAAATGAGCGGGAAAAGTAAAGATATCGGCTAAAACGATGAGTCCAATTACAGAGAAGGCGACAATTACAGCAGTGGAACCGATATAAGTTGAAGAGGTTCTCGGATCAGAAACACTCGTCTTTTTTAACGTCAGCTGACGATCTTTAAAAACCGTCTGCATTTTTTGTAAGGCTATCACCTCTTCCGGCACAGTATCATTCGGCGGTCGTGACGTTAGATCAATTTCTGTGCAGATAGTTAATTTGTTCTGCCAGGTCGAGACTGAATATAAACAAATTAATAAAACGAAATTGATTAATATATTACTAACAAAATGACAAATCCTGACAAATAAATTCCCAGCGGTCCCGAATTGCCGACTAATTCGGGAATTAGCTACAAATGACACAGCTTTGTAATATTTCACTTCAAATTAATCGACTCAAATCTATTAAGATATGATGACAATATCTGATAGCCAACAAACCAGTATAGGTTATCTTCGCCTGGTGTTGTCATTACGGTTGCCAAGCCGAATGTTTGCATCATATTCTAAAAATCCAATCGCACCCCCTCCCCCCACCCCCCGCCTACGGTTATCGGTAACCCTACCGAGTACAGTCACCCTAGAGTGAAGCCAATCCATATATAATGACAATATCTGCTTGATATCCAACAAACTAGTTTGGGTTATCTTCGCCTAGTGTTGTCAAAATATGTTTGCAACATATCCTCAAAAGTCAATCGTACACCTTGCACCTTAGAGTAAAGCCAATCGTAACCATACCTGAGTACAGTCATCCTAGATAAACGCCAACCATAACCCCACCTGAGTACAGTCACCCCAGAGAAAAGCCAATCGTAACCCCACACTCTGTTTTGAAAACCATCTTCAATTTGTCGAGTTATTATATTACACGTCCGATATATAGTCTGCGTTAATAAACTTTATGTTATCAGGGCTAAAAAGGCAATCGACCTAACTCGGCTCTTCAGTATAGTGGAAAAAATCACCTAATGTAGTTAAGATAAAAGACGTTTGCCATATATTTGTATATTGGTGTATACTTACCTACAGCAGACGGTGTAATATCTGATAATGATGATGACGATGATGACATGAAGAAAGATGTAGTTGATATAGCAGTAACTAGTGTTGACGATGGTAAAACGGGTGTGGTTAGTAAAATACCAATAGGACTGACAGAAGCTATGTTGATCAAACCACCTGTAGGAGGAGATAAGTAGAAATGTATAGAAAGCTGTGCATATCCTATCTAACTATAATTTTGTGATCTGCGATAATAATTGGCTGATATTACAGGGGCTGAGATAATAATTTGCCTTTAGTACAAGATCTGTGATAATAATGACAGGATGTGTGATAATAATTTACCATTATTATACGCTGTAAGACAATAATTTACCATTATTACAGGTTATGTGATAACAATTTACAGTTAGCGCAGGATCCGTGATAATAATGTACCGTCATAAGCTGTCTAGTCGTTCGGATGGGACGAAAAACCGAGGTCCCGTGTACACATTGGCGTGCACGTAAAAGATCCCTTGGCAGTTGGAATTCGATATAAGAGTAGGCCGTAGTGCCGCTGTCCGGGCAAAATTTCCCTCATAGCACACTTTATGGCGTATGCCCGTCTTCACTAGCCCAGGTTAGGAGCAGAACAGTAGGACGTTAAACTCCATTTCATTTCATTTCATTTTACAGGACATACGATAATAATGCACCGTTATTACAAGATGTGTAATATTAATTTACGGTACCGTTATAATAGGGCGTGAAATAATGATTTACCGTTATTACATGATGTGATAATAATTTACCGTTATTACAGGATATGTGATAAAAATTTACCGTTATTACAGGATCTATGATAATAATCCCATTCCTCGTCATGAGAGAGTAGAGCTCCTGGGTATAAAATATGGTTAGCGTTACTAAGTTGACAGAATTTACGAGACGGATTATATTCAAATGATCTACAGATGAACTTAGTAGAATTATCACAAATCTTCTTACAGTCTTCAACACTAACTTTATCTACTAAACCTCGATTGTGAGCTACCAGACTCGATTGTTGGTATTTTATATACTCACAGTCTCCTAAAAAATAAATCAGAAGAACACACCATAAAGCTAATATCCGTGGTTGGCATTCATAATAAAACAATTGGTGATTATCAATGGTTTACCATAATGATGATATTTTAAAATTAGTGAAATAGGATTTGTTTAATGGTTTTCCTGAAATCATGTCAATATATCTGAACCTTTTCAGACATTTCTAGGAAGTAATTACATATTTGTAACAGCATGCCTTTTTCTGATAAAACTGAACATCATGGGCATGTCGAAACATTTTGTAAGAGTTCTATCATTGTAAGATTGAATGAAAAGAACTTCTGTTTGTCACATTTGTAGTTCAACAAGTCAACAGTGAGGCTGATGTCCCCCGCCGAAATCCCAAAATAGATAGATGACACATATTAATTAATCGCACATTTATTTTTTCAAAATTATCGAGCAATCAAACTATACACTAAGTTTCATCACTCACTATCAGATAGAATCAAGATTACCTTAGGTTTAGCTCGAAATGTTAATCATTGAACTCAGTCAAGACATTCACCTAATGAACACCAAGTTTAACCATTTTACCTCAACTAAAAGCAGAGTTGTTATGTTCCAAATTCTTGACCAATCAAATTGCTTATCGCTCCTTAGCCTAAGCAGAAAATTCTCACCACCGAACTTAATCAAGGCAATGATATAATGAATCTATATTTGGAGTTTCATTGCTATCACTTCATCATAACCAAAGTCATCGTGCCGCAAAGCATCAACCAATCAGATTGCTTATCTCTGCTTACCGTAAGCAGACAATGTTCATCATCGAAGAACTCCGCCAAGGTATTCACCTAATGAAGGCCTACACCAAGTTTGAACATTCTACCTCAATTAGAAGGAGAGTTATTGTGTTCTAAAGTTTCGACCTATCAAATTGCTTATCGCTCTGCTTACCCTCAGCAGAAATGTTGATTATCGACTTAGTCAAGGTATTGATGTAAAAAACCTATACACCAAGTGTCCTCACTCTGACTTAATTAGAACTAAAGTTATCGTGTCCCAAAGCATCCACAAATCGAATATTGCTTATCTCTGCTTACCCTAAGCAGAAAATTCTCATCTTCGAACTCCATCAAGGCATTAAACTTATAGACACCTACGCCAAGTGTGAACATTCTAACTCAATTAGAATGAGAGTTATTGTGTTCCAAAGTCTCGAACAATCAAATTGCTAATCGCTCTGTTTACCTGTAGCAGAAAATGTTCATTATCGAACTTAGTCAAGGTATTGATGTAATGAAACTATACATCAAGTTTCAGCACACTCACTATTTAGAACTAAAGTTATAGCGTCCCAAATCATCAACCAATCAAATTGCTTATCTCTGCTTACCCTAAGCAGAAAATGCTCATCTTCGAACTCCATCAAGGCATTGATCTAATAAACAAATGAAACCGGGTTTAACGTCCTACTATTCTGCTCCGAACTGGGCTAATGAAGACGGGCATATGTCATACAGTGTGCTATGGGGGAAATTGTGCCCGGACTGCAGCACTACGGCCTACTCTTATATCGAATTCCAACTGTCAAGGGATCTTTTACGTGCACGCCAATGTGTACACGGGACCTCGGTTTTTACCTACACCAAGTTTCAACATTTTAGCTCAATTAGAAGAAGAGTTAATGTGTTCCAAAGTCTCGGCCAATCAAACTGCTTATCGCGCTGCTTACCTCGAGCAGAGAATGCTCATTATCGAACTTAGTCAGGTTATTGATGTAATGAAACTATACACCAAGTTTCACCACTCTCACCGCTCCATCAAGGCAATGACCTAATAAACACCTACACCAAGTTTGAACATTCTAGCTCAATTAGAAAGAGAGTTATTGTGTGACCGTCATTTATAATTAGAAACTTTCATAAGTAAATAGTGATGGATATACTATACCGAAAGCCAATATTTGATTAAAATATGAAATAGCTTTGGGAAAAGACATAGATTATTTAACTAACATTCAATCCAACAATTAACTGTGTAATTATTTTACCTTTTCTTACTTCACACAGGGAGGGTAACGGTTCACTGCAGTTTAAAGGCAACCACCAGTTGCGTATCTTGGTGACGGTAGCTACACAGGAGCGAACAGGTTCGTCGACTGTCTCCAGTCCAAAATTCCAATTTGTCCAGTCTTTTTCGTTCCCATTCGACCAGGTCCAGTTATCTTTTGTGTCTTGGTGTAGACCAGTCCAGAATGTCCAGTCCCTAAAATATAAACAATTTTTATTCGGCATATAACCTATTGCTAATGTAACTGTACTTTTTAGGCGCTCAAAAAGTTATATTTTTGAGCAATGAAAACTTTCACAGATATTGGTACAAGCATACTTGCTCCTCTCTTTTTGTTCTATTTCGTCCACGTTGCTGTAATATCAAGTTCTGTTGAGTTTTTATTGTTCAAAAGTTCCACTGAAGTGGGGAGTGAGATTTTTGTCAGAAAAACGTGGGACCAAGAAAGGTAAGAATTTGCTCACAGCTGAGCTTGTATTTCATCTTCGGGAAATTGACCGATATCAGCATTTCGGATTGCCGGATCTGTAGTCCGCAAAACAGGTGAATAGTCCAATATCACGCATTTCCTAAATATTGTCCGACAGTAACAACATGATATCGACTTTTTAATGCATATGTTGGGCGCATTAGCTAGAAAGTTCAATTGCCCATGCGTAACCGGGAGTTTGGTTTTATGTGGTTAATTATCCAGTAAATTTCGCAAAGTCAAGTCAAAGTTGCGCCCTCTCTCGAAATAAATCCCATAAGTCCTGCATTATTATAAACATTGGAATTGTGACGACGAATTATGATTAATAAAATAAAAGCACAGATATGGTCAATGAAGATATTGAACTGGCAATGTAAATGCATTTTCCGAAATGGCAATTCTTACATTAATTTCAATGGCGTCGACATCTTATTTTAGGGCTAGTTACGAACCTTCCTTTGATTTTGTTCATGATAATATAAAAGACCGCATAATCTAGCCAATCACCTAGTTATTCTCAAATGTTAACAACCCATCCAGATTAATATTCGTAGAATATTTGTCTGAATGATAGAGAATATATCCGCGCGGATTAGACCCTTCCCGTGCCGATTGTAATCGGCGAGCAATGACGTCTACATACTCCTCGCAGCGTTTCGTTTGATTAGAGCTAATCCCACTTAACACTGCTGTAATGGAAGCAAATTTCTGTTCCAAATTATGACCAACAACCAATAGCTAACTGCGTAACAATATCATTACGATTTAAACAAAGCTCCAAATTGGTTCAACTATGTTTACATAACGTTACGTCATGACTCACGATTTTATTATGCCCAATTAACCAGAGCAGAGCAGAATGTTGAAGAAAAATTAATTGCGTGACAAACGAGGCTATCAACACGTATACAATGTAAACAATACTGTTTGGAGACGAACAACACTTTCGCCGTTTTTAATAGTTTAAATCAGTCCTTATCCCCCTTGCTATTTAATCGATTTCTATTTGTAACTAGCTTTATATATACGAGGGGAAGTCAATAAGTTCATAGAAGTGGATATAAAACAGAAGCCAATGGTTGTGATATTGATTTTATTTTTCAATATAATCTCCCTGGACCTCGATGCACTTTGCCCATTTGTCTTCGAGACTGTCTATGCCCTTGCGGTAGAAGTCTTCTGACTGGCCCATCAGCCACGCATCAGTAGCTGCCTTGAGTTCATCATCATCGTCAAATTTTGTACCACGCAAGTGTGATTTCAAATTGCGAAACATATAGAAGTCGCTTCGGGCCAGATCTGGACTGTAGGGTGGATAGTTAAGTTGTTCAACGCCACATTGTTAAAGTGAAGCCTGTGCGATACGACTCTTGTACACTGGAGCGTTGTCATGAAGAAGCATAACTCCAGCAGTCAACATGCCGCACCTCTTCTTCTTGATCGCCGTTCTCAATTGGTTCAACAAGTCAGCATAGTAGACCCCTGTTATTGTAGTTTTAGGTGGTTTATAGCCTATTAGTGTCACACCCCTTGAATCCCAAAAAATGGTGGCCGTGCTCTTGCCAGCAGAAGGCTGAGTTCTGAACTTCTTGGGTGCAGTTACACCACTATGACTTTAGACTAAAGACAAATCAAAGGAATAATTTGACTTTAGATATTAATAATAAATAGAACATAGCTTTACGCTATTCACGTTAATTTCTCATCACACAATAAACATCACTTAACATACAACCTAATTTACTTAACGCTTACCAATTAGTCAGCGGTTTATTTTTAAAAAAAACATTAAAAATGCTTGAAGAATTTAAAACAATACGAATTTTTTGAATATGTTTATCTATGGAAGATAGGTGCTATTGTTCTTGATCAATCAGTAGGTACATTTTTTTTAGATTAATATTTGATTTACCAACTATTAGCAAACCAGTAAACTCATGTCTTAATGGTCCTTTTTTAAATGCATTAGAAGTCACAATGGGTAAAATGTTTAAGAAGTCACCATCGGTAAAATCTGAATTCCAGTATGCATTAATGGCTCATAATTAAACGTTATTTATAATCAAAATCCTGCAAACTATTATAAAAATTCAAAAGATTGTTTTAAGATTTTTTTTTTATGAAATATATTGGTGCATTGTAAAGTTTGCCCTTAATCTATCTTTCAAGTAAAATGTAAGTAGGTCTTCCTAGAACCCTTTTAACCTTTTTCTTATTTTTTTTAATAAACACTCATAAAACTAAGAGCTAAATGCAATATTATGATTTATAAATGCTTTCGGATATTTTTGACTTAATGAAACAGTTACAAAATATCATTTTATCTCCGAGAGCTTATAATATAATCAATTTTAAAACATCCTTTATCATCACAAAATATCCGTCATCACAAAATATCCTTCATCACAAAATCTCTCCATTCAAAATGTTGAACGCCCTCCATCACAAAATACTCTTCATGACGAATTAAACTTCATTACAAAATACCCTCTATCAGAACATACCCTTCATCATAAAACACTTCCATCATAAAATACACCCTATTAATCAAAATACCCACCTTCAAAAAATACCATTAACCCCTATATCTCTACATACCCTCACAAAACACTCCGAAATCCTTCATCACAAAATCTCTCCATTCAAAATGTTGAACGCCATCCATCACAAAATACTCTTCATGACGAATTAAACTTCATTACAAAATACCCTCTATCAGAACATACCCTTCATCATAAAACACTTCCATCATAAAATACACCCTATTAATCAAAATACCCACCTTCAAAAAATACCATTAACCCCTATATCTCTACATACCCTCACAAAACACTCCAAAATCCAAACGGATGAGAAAAACGGAATTGAAGAATTTTTGAAAGCTTTCACATAGTATCTACCTATTAATATTTTCAATTTGTGAGAATTGTAAAGCGGTTCATTTAACCAGAAAAGCCTTAGATCGCTATTCAAAGAACAATTTAAATTTATTTCATCGTTTGTACAGTCCTGAGCACATGTTTGGTACCACATTCCACACCATTTTCTAATTTTGATAAATTTTTTTGGTCTCCGGTGTTTTTACCACAAAATTTTCATAAGATATCGGGCTTAAAAAATATTTACGTAGGTATATACACCAACTTTGGCTCATAACATGAATAATAGAGTGATGGACGCCATCTGTAATTTCATACCTTCCTGCTAATTTATTTTTACTCCCACGGGGGCCCCAAACATGATTCAAGTTTCAAATAGATAGGAAACCTAAATACACACAGAACCACCCCAGTTGATAAACGGTGTCCCTGTGTGGTACCATATCCCACCAGATTTTCCACTTTTGATAGTATTTTTAGTATTTTCATCACAAAAGTTCCACACGATACCTGTTAACCAACGGCCTTAAATTATTCTGAACCCTCATGTTCAATATAATATGTTTGTTGCATTTATAGTGATAGTTCTAGGTAGCTGTAGTTTGTTTTGTCTCTAGGCTAGTTTAGATAAGTATCGTTTTAGCTCTATAATGATTTTCTTATGTTTATTTGATCACCGGCTTGTTGTACACCATTTTACATCCATAACTGATCACCACTCGATGCTATCTTATAATTATGTGTCAATAACCGATTTATTCCTTAATCAAGATAACACGACATAATGTCATGCGATTCACTAAACCAGATTTCGCCGTTAATTTGTACATTTATGTAGCTTACAATGTTCACGTAAACTTCTTTTGAAACAGAATATTGTCAACGTCATATTAATCAAATAGAGCACTGCCTTCAGAACTATATAAGTTTTAACCTTCACCATTCCGTCTGTCAATCCCAACTGTTTCGTCATGAATAATAAATTGTCTGGGATAATTCCCATTGGGATTACTCGGGAGTTTTGTAAACAAAGTGTAACATGAATGTCTGGTTAAGAGCTTTAAGGTACAACAAATTTTAGACTCTTCCAGCGTAGCATGAATGTCTGGTCAAGAGGTTCGAGGTACACATTTTAAACTGTTCCGGTATAACATGAATGTCTGGTCAAGAGGTTTAAGTTATACATTTTAGACTCTTCCTGTATTTCAATAACAACATGAATGTAATGACGTTCAAGTTACACATTTTAGACTCTTCCAGTCTTAAATATTGGATATCAGAAGCCCATCTTTTCCCCGGTAAGATCACAGCATCAATGTTGATTTAAACTGACAAATAATTCATGTTTTCAATGTCGAAGACCTTTGATGATACCGAGTTAGAGACTTGGCTACTTTAATTCACCTAACACAAAAATCGCACCAGGGTCGCGGCTCTGTGATAAATGTCTGTAAAACCTTTCATCACCATGGACCCATTGTGAGCCTTATTGATAAGACAACAGTAAAATAAGGTGGGTTTAACTTAATACTGCGCTTCTCCGACTGGGCTAAGGAAGACGGGCATATGCCATACAGTGTGCGATGTGGGAAATTTTGCCCTGACAGCGATACCAGTACCTACTCTTTCTAATTCCATTTGTCAAGGGTGTTTTTACGTGTACGTCAATGTATACATGGGGCCTCGTTTTTCGTCCAATCCGAACGACCGTCATTTGCCAGGCCCTGCACCTCTGACAAGGGGGAACCACGTCGAAATATCCCGGCCAACACCAGGCTGGAATACGGGACTCCAGCCAACGTCTTACCCACTGAGACACCACGGATCCCATGAATAACAAGAAT